CGGACAGAACAGCTGGGTCCAGTCCACACTCGGTAAATGTGTGTGACATCGATGAACTGTCATCCTGCGGCCCCTAGTGAAGCCAGGAGCAAGCTTTCATAACACCAACGGTATGTTAACCGGATTAGGGATGCAGAGTCAGACCTGGAATCGAGTCTTCCCCCCTCGAAAACCGACCAGGAGAGCAGTGCCCATGGGCCCAGCCGCTCTGGTGGGCACATCCTCTGCCTACAATGCCCAGTATGGTGGCCACGAGCCGCACGCGTCTGCTGAGCATGTGACGGGTGCCCGGGGTGGCAGAGCAACGGATTTTTACTTCGGTTCATGTTTTCTCGTATCTTTCATTCATCTGTATTCATACATTTATTTCATTGAATGTTAATTATTATACCAAACAGCTGCGTGGCTGGCGGCTCCTGTCTTGGACAGCACGGGGCCAGACAGTCAGGCAAGGGTCATGCCCGAGGCATTACTGTCACCCTATGGGCCGCAGACTGTGCCAACTGCTCCTGTGACAAACACCACGGATTCCCACAGGTAGCTTTCGAGTGGTGTCAGTGGCCTGGCATCCAGAAGCTGGCAAGCCACACGCGTAAAAGGGCTTAACGAGGCACCGTGTTGCAGGAATTGTGATGCTTTATGGGCCTCCACCTGTGAGGAGACCCGTCCAAGGGCAGATTCAGCCCTCGGTGACCAGAGTTAATTGAAAATTGAAGGCCCAATCAAATCACCCAGAACTGAGATTTTTGGCAGCCTATATGCGCTTCGCGGTGAGTTTCCTGCTGCTTTTCGCCTCCATCAGCGCTACAAGCGAGGTTGCAAGTTCCACAATCATCCACAGAAGCACCAGGCTCTGAGTGAGGGGCAGAAAAACCAGGGTGGACTCTGATCTTGAAAGCGCGTGTTCTCCGGTTGTTTAAAGGGTGTGGGGTCCCCTTCCTAAGGCAGCAGGTGGAAGTGGACAACACCCTATCCCCAACTTGGAATATGTGAGTCAGACGAGCATCTTCTCTATGAAAAAATAAGCACATCAAGTGCTCCTCAAAAAACCTCCACACACAAGAGGAGCAGCTTAGCCCTCTGCTTTGCAACACAAGCTTTACGGCAAGAAAGTGCCGACTGCCGTTCAGGCCTGTTCATCTGGGACCTTGCAGCTTATACGGCACAAGAGCTAGGATGCCCAAGAGACCCACATTCAGTTTCTGCCCTGATCACTTCCCAGCACCGCATCTTTAGAAAACGTACTTAACCTCTCTGAACATCCAGTTCCTCTCCTGAAAAAAATAAAAAATAAAAACAAGTGTACCCATACACCTCCCTAGGTTACAGTAGCTATAAAACCACCAAAGAAGCCCACAAAGACAACTGTTCATAGCAACTTAATTCGTAAGAGCGCCAAACTGAAAATGACCCAGATGTCCATCAATAGGTGAAGAGAAAAATACGCTGTGGTCAATCCACACGCTGGAAGATCAGTCAGCAATGGAACAGGAATGGACCACTGGCACACCAGACGACATAAATGATCTCAAAACAAGGAAACGCAGTGGAAAAATCCAATTTCACAATTTCGTTTATAGAAAATTCTAGAAAAATGAAATCAGTGACAGAAAGCACATGGTCAGGGGACAGAAGGCTGGACTAAAGGAGGAGGAGGACACTTGGGGGGCAATGAAGACGCCCCACGTCTTGATGAGGTGACGGTTTCCTGGGTCTGGACATTTTAAAGACGTGCAGTGTGGTGTGCTGAAGTTACAGGTCAGCAAAGTTGAAAAGGGTTTAAAACATGAGGTCAGGGGTCGAAGGCCCCATTGTAGGACCTGGCACATAGAAGGCTCCGTACAGAGCAGTGGCAGACGACCCCATGAGACTTTCTGGAAAAGGACCTTGACAGGCGGCCTGGAGAGGCATCGGCAGATGTAAGCCCGGCCCTGCAGGCTTCCTGGAGCCCAACTATCCAGAATGACTGTCTGTTCTCGGCCAGAAGGCGTGAACCAGAAGGATGAACAGAAAGGTGGGCAAGGCTTAGTCTCTGCCCTGAAGGAAACACACAAGAGTTTAACATACGATGGAATAAAAGGATTGTAAAGACAGTGGGGACGAGTAACCGCTATGCAGAAAAGTGTGATTCTGACGGGACGGGCGTCCAGAAGGAAGGATTTCAGGACGGACTTCAGGGTGGGATGCTGGCAACAGGGGGCGCAGGGCAGGCCATGTGCAGAGGGTGGTCTGACTGCACTAGAATATGGAAGCCGGAGGGGGGTCCTGGTGGGGACACCGGGCAAGGCTGAGGGCCCCGGCACGTGGTCCTGCAGAGATGAGGGAGGGGGCCCGCACAGTCTGAGCAGCAATACTAGCCCCCGTCATCACCCAGGGAACCAGCCAAAGGGCTCAGCGTGGCGGGATTTGAGCTGCACACCCACAGGTCCCACCCAGGGGGCAAGGTGCCAATCTAAGGATCCCGACACCCACATCTCTCATCTCAGCCATTCCTGAGGAAATAATCAGAAACGCACGCGGAGATGTATGTACAATGCTGCTGATCACAACATTATTTATAAGAGCCCAAAGCCCAAAATAACTTAAATGTCCATAAAGGGGAGCCCAAAATAAATTATGGCACCCTGATTGATTCAAGCACTTAGGGCCACTGAACCATATTTTAGGAACACGTGGGACCACAGCGGATGCCTCACTGTAAGCTGCATAAAAGCAGAACACAAAAATATACACTGAGGATTCATTCAACATGATTACTATGTGCCGGGCACTGCTCTAAATACTGACAATACAGCAGAAGAGAAACAGAGACGCAGTCCTGCTCCTGTTAGAAGGGATTCCACTTGCTAATGAAGGAAGGCAGACGACAAGCAAGGAAACGGATTACAACGAGTGAAATATAGAGCACGCGGGTGGCAGGGTTCCCTAGGAGGAACCCTGAGACCAAGAGAGGAAGGGGGTGGGGAGTCGGGGGAGGCGGACATTTTAAACAGGGGGTCAGGGAGGTTTCACAGAGAAGGGGGTTGAGGGTTTGAGCCCAGAGTGTATCTGGGAGGACTTCCAGGCAGAGGCAAAGGCAGTGCAAAGGCCCTGAGGAGGCCAGGGCGGGGGAGGGTTGCTGAGAAACAGCAAGGCTGAAGCAGCAGAACACGCAGGACAGACAGCGGGAGGATGAGGCGGAGGGAAGCTGGTGCCCCGGGGCCAGGAGCCACGGCAGGGACGTGATCGGAGGGCAGGGGGAAAGGAGAGAAGCAGGGAGACCAGCAAGGGCCGCTCCGGGGTTTTCCTAACTTTTTCAGTGGACACATGCCCACTTTATAATCAGACAGCAAAACGTGATCCAACCGCAGACAGCCGTGTAGGTGCTGTGCCTGGGGCACAAGGCGGCCCAGAAACAGGCCAGCAGGGTGGGAAGGTAGTTCAGGCGATGAGCCAAGAATCAGGGGGTGCAGGGGTCGGGGGTGGGGAGGCACCTGGTATGTTCCTGGAAGTGATCACCATGAAAAGCAAAACGTCACTCCTCTTGGTGATGAAAGGAATGAAACCACGATGCACAAAACTATGAAAAAGAGGAAAAGAACTGCCCCCTCGTCTCCGCACCCTAACGATCTGCATTTAACACCTTGCTATGTTGCCTTTTGGTCTTTTCTCCTGCACACACTCTGGCCTTTCCTTCACCCCTCAACCAGGCTCAGCACGTCGAAAGCACTCAAGTGCTCACTGAGCAAATACTGGTTGATGAAATACTCCGAAGGCTTTCGGGTTCAGATTTGTTCACGTTGCGTCAGCGACATCACAAGCATTTTCGGAAGACACTTTAAGAGGCTTGGAAACTGTGAGGAAGGGAAGGCGTGGTTCGCAGTGAGTGAGGTGTCGTCTGGCCGCTGAGGACGGGGGTGGCGGTATTCATCAGAGGTGCTGGCAGGAAGCAGTGGGCTGAGGAACAGCCAGGGGTCGGTTTGGGGGGCTGTGAGGGGTGCTCAGGATGCCCCTAGAGAGGCCCAGCCGCCCGCCGCCCACCCCGCCCGGGGCTTAGGGAGCGGCGTTAGCCTCGGATGGAGGTGGTCAGACAGCGGCGGGGAGGAAGGGAGTGGGCAGTGGGGCCAGCCGCCCACCTGGGGCCGGACGCGTGCCCCCTGCTGCCCCCCAGGGCTGCCCTGCCAGTGCCCGCTGCACAGACGCAGGTCCACAGTGGAGCCAGGACTCGAACCTGCCCCTAGGAGGGCTCTAGCCACAAATTCTCCTCTCTTATCACGGTCACAGGGAGGAGAAAGTCAGTCTTCAGACGCCCGTGTCAGCAAGTGCCCGCTGGGGGTTCCCCACTTCAAGGGACACCCCCCACACACAAGGAAGAAAGCCCTGGTCCCTCTTCCAAAAGCCTAATTTACATGCTTCCACCTCGCGGGCACGCCTGTCGAGTTCCTCCGTGGGGACGAGAGACACCAGGAAGGGCCACGCGATTTTCCCGCAGCACCACCTGCGTCTCCGCATTCAGCTGGTGCTCGGCAAATGCTCCAGATAGGAACGCTGAGCCTCACTCATCAGCCGCCCCGGGGCCTCTGGAACGCAGGGCCAAGCGCGATGGACAAGGGACGGGGGGAGCTGGGAGGACGGACAGACGGCCACGAGCAGACACGGCCGCCGCCTCCCTCGCCCGGCCTGCCGTGAAAACGCTCTGCGAGCAGGTAGACCCATGGTAGGCCCATTCAACGCTGCCCCGGGTACCAGCTGGCTCACCTGGTTTTAATTCGTTATTATTTAAATCAGTTGCTAGTTTGCAGAAAGTGAGAGATTTCACCTAGACCTCTGGCTTCCTGAGAGCAGTCCCTTCTTGACAAAACCCCCTGTCAGTCGGCCCCCACCCTGGCCCCCAGACTCCCATTCCCCAGCCCATCCCCCCAGGCCCCCCAGGCCCCTCAGCCTGTACCCCCAAGGCCCCCCGGCCCCCAAGCCTGTGCCCCGGCCCCCAGAGCCCGCCGGGGCCGAGCACCCGGGCTCACCGGCACTCAGCGTGGTGAATTCCAGGAAGCGGTACTCGTAGGACACATCTGTCTTGGTCTCCACCTGGGGCCTCTTCAACGTCGAGTAGATGTTCCCGGGCCGTCGGTCGTCACGCTTCTCCAGCTTGTTCAACCCGCACCCCATCTCAGCAGCTGCCGGCAGAAGGGGAGAGAGGGAATGATCTCCGTTCCGAGATGCTGTCCTTACACACCGTCACGTGCAAGGCCGTCACGTCCCGGAAGCCGGCATAAAGGGCCCCAGGCTGGCTGAAATCCATGACCTGCACCCCGGAGGCTCTCTGCTCAGGCTGGCTTCTCTGGCTGGTAAGCCTGGGGTTCTGAACTGACACCCCACACATGCCTGTTTTATATCATTTCTCTCCCCTATCTGAGGAAAACAACGCCGCGTAGTGCCTCAGTCCCGCTATACTCTGTATGCGTGATCTTAAGAAAGGAGATCTAAAAAGCAACACCCTGCGTGACGGTGTCGGCCCATCTGAAAAAGAGACAGGATGGTCCGTCACTTCGCGGCGGTCTCTAAAAGGGGATAAGTTGTTACAATTTCCAAAGTCCTTTCCACCCTCAACGGTAACTATTTAGACAGATTTCACATTCAGAAAATGTCTCTCAAGGTAGACGGTGGCATTTTTACAGACCTTGTCTAAAAGTCATTTATTCTCTCTGAGACCAAACCACAAGAACCCAGGGGTTCTTCCAGACTCTGCCAGTCATTACAGACCAAAATGAAAACTGGCTGAACACGAACAGCAGGGCAGGAGAATCTGGAAGCAGAAACCCACGTGTGTCACAGCAAAGATCCACGGCCATGGTTTGGATGCAAAAGGAGGAGATGTTGAAATGGAGCGCATACGAGGACGGACTGGGCATCCAGTCTCCCGGGGGCTGAAAAACAGTGACCGTTCTGTTTCTTTAGGCAGAACGGCAACCACGAAACGGCTCTGCGCCCACTCCCCAGACTTCAGCGGGGATTTCAGTTACCCCTGGTGACCAAGCCTGGAACCACGAAACGGCTCTGCGCCCACTCCCCAGACTTCAGCGGGGATTTCAGTTGCCCCTGGTGACCAAGCCTGGAACCACGAAACGGCTCTGCGCCCACTCCCCAGACTTCAGCGGGGGTTTCAGTTACCCCTGGTGACCAAGCCTGGAACCACGAAACGGCTCTGCGCCCACTCCCCAGACTTCAGCGGGGGTTTCAGTTACCCCTGGTGACCAAGCCTGGAACCACGAAACGGCTCTGCGCCCACTCCCCAGACTTCAGCGGGGGTTTCAGTTGCCCCTGGTGACCAAGCCTGGCCAATCTGTCCCTCCTCCCTGGAGCATCGCCGCTGTCATCGGGACACGTCTCACAAAAACACGAACCGGTCACGACTATCGCAAACACAAATGCGGCAGCCGCTTCCTCTCAGAGATAAGGGTCTCCCTGGGCTCAGGCCATTCGCAAGGTACTCAGCTTCCTACGGCAACTTGGGCAGCTCCAGAAAAACAAGACGAACCTCACAAAAGCAACTTAGCCGGGGAGGGACGACGGGGCTGCAAAGCGACCAGCAGGCGATACTTGTCAGTAATTAAAAAAAGTCTGGGAGGATGGATGAGAACAGGAAGGCTTACTTATGCCTTAATAAGGGAACATTAGTGTCCAAAGGGCCAGAGCAGACATGATTTATGTGCCATCTGCATGAACTGATTACTTGTAAAATACTCTGCAGTTCTGCTGATAGAATAGCTGATATGCACCGAGGCTGTATATTTAACTGCTAGAAAGCAAGTCGACGGGCATCCGCTGGGGCAACGCAGAAGTGGACAGGGAGGCCCCTAAGTGCTGGGGAACAGGTAAGCTGGGCAGATAAGCGCTTTCACCCCCAGAACAGAGTTGGAAACACCCAAAGGCTTACCAGTCGCTCACTCACCTTCCTCCCTACAAAGGCCTGAATGTTTGGGGGCCTCCAAGAAAGTAAAAAAACAAAAAACACAAAGGCGCTTCCCAACTGGTGCTAATGGTAATAACCTGCCTGCCAATAGAAAGACGTAAGAGACGTGGGTTCGATCCCTGGGTCAGGAAGAATCCATGGAGGAGGACATGGCAGCCCACGCCAGTTTTCTTGCCTGGAGAATCCCACGGACAGAGGAGCCTGGTGAGCTGTGATCCACAGGGTTGCAAAGAGTCAGACACGACTGAAGCGACTTAACACGTGGGCAAGAGACAAAGAAACCTTTGCTCAAAAGTCTTTCCATTCTTGCTATCCTACTAGGTAAATTCCAGCACTAGAGATTCCTTCCTTTGAGAACACTCTGCCTCAGCAGCCTCTGAAACCACCATCACGTTCTCCCTGGGAAGGACATCAAACCAAGCTCCTGGTAGACCCTAACACTTCAGTATGATTTAATTTCTTTTCTCCAGGACAGGTTCCTGACAGCAGGAAAAAAAAGGAGGAGGGGATTATCAGGATGAGTCAAGATAGACAAATCTGACATTGAGGGGAGGGGGTGCCAGAAACTATTAGAAAAAGTCCCATTTCACAAGTTGGGAATTTTCAGCTTCAATCACACCATCCAAACTTAAGCCCCCAAGTCCCCCCTGGAAGGGCATTGTGCTGGACTCACAGGATGCAACGAGCCTCTGGGCAAGCGAAGCGCCTATGTGATCAGACACTGGACCAGCCAGGAGCAGAACTGTAGCTTCAGTGAATCCTCGATGTCGCAAATTCTAGGCATTCGTTTCTTTGGGGGCACAGGCAGCCCCAGTTAAGCAACTGTTCCTAAAGCACAGTTCTCTCTGGGAAGGGAGACCCTGCCGAGCCTCCGCCATCAAAAGTGCGCAGTGTGAATTTGCTCCTCTGACGCGGTCGTGTTAGAGCCCTTCCATTGCCGGCTCCTGGCACTGCTGCTTTCCTCCCAGCTCCTTCCTGCGTCACTCACCCGACCCCTGTCAAAATAGGAAAGACTTGGACAGCGCCCCACAAGTGGCTACTACAGTCCCTACTGTGCTGAAGCAAGTCACGAAACCTAGCTTACGGAAAGAAGGAGAATGAAGACGTGGCAGCAACTTACGTGATCATCCACATTTGGTAGATTTCACTATTTACCATGCGGGGTCCCCTCGCACTAGAACCCCATGGGGGGCTGGGCCAAGGCTGGCTCTGGGCCTCGCGGGGCAGTGAGGCTGCGGGAGGACGGAGGAGAAGGGCAGAGCCCTGCCGGATTCGGGCGGACGGGGTCCGCGGGGCTGCACGCAAGGGTCTCAGCCAAAGCCTGTCTCCCTCGGGGCTCAAGGTCTCCAGCAGGACAGAAGGTAAACAGGGTGACTCTTTTCACATCTGGCCCTTCCAACATTCCTGCCATCGAGAGATGGGGCTTCCGTCACCTCCCCTGAATCCGGGCTCGTGACTGCTTGCCACTGGTGCCGTCCGTCAGTCGCCCAGTCGTGTCCAACTCTTTGTGACCCCACAGACTGCAGCACACCAGGCTTCCCTGTCCATCACTACCTCTCAGAGTTTGATCAGATTCACGTCCACTCAGTCCGTGATGCCATCCAACCATCTCATCCTCTGTCATCCCCTTCTCCTCCTGCCTTCAATCTTTCCCAGCATGAGTCTCATTTCCAATGAGTTGGTTCTTTGCATCCGGTGGCCAAAGTACTGAAGCTTCAGCATCATTCGTTTCAGTGAACATTCAGGGTTGCTTTCCTTTAGGATGGACTGGTTGGATCTCCTTGCAGTCAGCTTGCCATTTGTTGTTGTTGTTCAGGAGCCAAGTCAAGTCCAACTCTTTGGGACCCCATGGACTGCAGCACACCCAGATTCCCTGTCCCTCACCATCTCCTGGAGTTTGCCCAAGTTCATGTCCATTGAATTGGTGATGCCATCCAGCCATCTCCTCCTCTGTCGTCCCCTTCTCCTCCTGCCTTCAATCTTTCCCAGCATCAGGGTCTTTTCCAATGAGTCAACTGTTTGTATCAGGAGGCCAAAGTATTGGAGCCTCAGCATCAGTCCTTCCAATGGACACTCAGGACTGACTTCCTTTAGGATAGACTGGTTGGATCTCCTTGCAGTCTGCTTGCCATAGAAAGTGTCAAATGATGCAGTACCAGCTTCTGGACCCAAACTGTAAGAAACTGGGAGCATCCGTTGCCCGACTCTCGGGACACTTGCTCTTGGAACCCAGTCACCATGCCAGGAGGAAGCTCAAGCAGCCTCGAAGAAAGGCCCACCTGGGGAGGAACCCATAGCCAGCGCCAAATTGCAGGCCAGGGAACCACCCTGGAAGGCGAGCCTCTGCCTCAGTCAAGCTGCTGAAACCACGGAGCAGAAGTGAGCTGTTTCCCCCAAGACCTGTCAGGTCAGCAGGTTCCTGGGCAAAATATGCCACTGTGGCTGTCTCAGGCCTCTCCGTTTGGGTATGATGCGTCAGGCCAGAGGTAACCTATACATGAGTCTGGGCCAAACGATCCTGGCCAGCCGCCTCCAGGACCGAGCACTGGTCTGCAGTCGCGAGCCTGCTTCAGTCACTCATGCCAGGAGGATATCTAGAGTCTCTCCAGTCTGGGTCAATGCCAAACAAAGTGGCTGCAGACATGCATGGAGAAGTTCTTCTGTGGACAGAAGCTTCCATTTCTCTAGGGTGACATCTAGGTGAGTGACCACACCATCATGGTCATCCAAGTCATCGAGGCCTGTTTTGTATAGTCCCTCTGTGTATCCTTGCCACCTCTTCTTAATCTCTTCTGCTTCTTTTAGGTCCTTACAGTTTCTGTCCTTTATCACGCCCATCCTTGCATGAAATGTTCCCTTGATACCTCCACTTTTCTTGAAGAGATCTCCAGTCTTTCCCATTCTGTTGTTTTCCTCTATGTCTTTTTCATTTAAGAAGGCCTTCTTATCTCTCCTTGTTATTCTCTGAAACTTTGCATTCAGTTGGGTATACCATCCCCTTTCTCTTTTGCCTTTCCTTTCTCTTCTTTCCCCAGCTATGTGTAAAGCCTCCTCAGACAACCATTTTGCCTTCTTGTGTGATGGTGCGGTCACTCCCCTACAGCCAGACACCCTGGGATGTGAAGCAAAGCGGGCCTTGGGAAGCATTGCTACAAGCAAAGCTAGTGGAGGTGATGGAATTCCAGCTGAGCTATTT